AATAAATCCTTACCGCAAAGAAACCCATTTGTTATCTGACCTTTAGCAATTTCTTGTTTCTGTTACAGGCTGTTCACTACCACCCACTCTCCTACTGCTTGTATTCCAGTCACGCTGAACAGTGTGCATTTTCCAGCTGGCTCCCTGAATTTGCATGTGCCATTCCCTCTGCTTGGAAGATCCCCCTCTTATCATTCAGTTCAGCATCACCTCTTCCAGAAAGCCTTCCTTGACTGCCCCTACCTCTCAGTCCCTGATCTGTTCAGTGCCCTTCTATATAGCTGCGCCTTAGTTGTTACAAGGTTACCCCAATCCACCAAATTGTTTATACCTTCATTCACCCCTGTCCCTGGCTAGCTTAGGAAGTCTTGAAAGGTAGACACTGTGAATTATTTTCCTGTCTCCTCAGGGCCTAACAGCATTCACTTACAATATTGTTCAATAAAATTTTATCTAACAATTGTATACTTACAGAAGTAGTCAATGTAAAATGTCAGCTTGGAAATTAAGCATTTGAGTCCTAGTAGAGTTGAATTACTGGATTACATGATGAATGGTGATGGGCAACATATTTAGTTGGGTTAGTAAAGTCATATTCCCTATCATATGTCCTATCCTTAAACATAAAACTCCCACTGGCTTTGGTACTCATCTGCAAGACCACAGGAAGTAAACTATCAGAAGACAGCAGTGACCATTTGTGTAAGGTGAGGGTGAGAAACGCCTGTTTAACCAGGAGAGCAAAGCCAGAAACCACAGAGGGAAGGCTGACAGTGGCTCTGAGCTAGCTCATCACCAGGTGATACCTTCCTTGTAGGTTTGGAAGCCACACTCTTTTTACTTTGAATTTCTTTCAATTTTTAAAAGTCTAAATACCTACCTATTCCAAGACGCACATAGGAATAACTGAATATAAAAACATTAAACTGTCCAAAAAATCAGGAAACAGGGAAAACTATTAAAATAGTATTTTAATGACTTTTTTCAAATTAACAATAGACCATTGCTTTAGAGACACCTGTGTGGAAGTTGGAAGAAAATTATTTGAAGATGTAATACATTGTTTGATAATAAGTTAGTCCTGGGGCTGGCGCTGTAGCGTGGTAGGCAATGCCTTTGGCTGTGGCATCGGCATCCCATATAGATGTTGGTTCGAGTCCCAGATTCTCCTCTTCTGATTTAGATCTCTGCTTTTGGCCTGGGAAAGCAGTAGAAGATGGCCCAAGTGCTTGGGCCCCTGTACCCACGTGGGAGACCTGGAGGAAGCTCCTGGCTCCTGGCTTTGGATCCACCCACCTCCAGCCATTGGGACCTTTATCTCTGTCTCTTTCTCTCTTTGTATGTAATTCTGCCTCTCAAATAAATAAAATTTTTTTTGGACAGGCAGAGTTAGATAGTGAGAGAAAGAGAAAAAGGTCTTCTCTCCATTGGTTCACCCCCCCAAATGGCTGCTACGGCCGTGCAGTGCGCTGATCCGGAGCCAGGTGCCCCCTCCTGGTCTCCCATGCGGGTGCAAGGCCCAAGTACTTGGGCCGTCCTCCACTGCCCTCCCGGGCCACAGCAGAGAGCCAGACTGGAAGAGGAGCAACTGGGACAGAACCAGCGCCCCAACCAGGACTAGAACCCAGGGTGCCGGCACTGCAGGCAGAGGATTAGCCTAGTGAGCTGCGGCACCAGCCTAAAAAGTCCTATATCTCTGAATTTTTGGGAATTCCATGAAGTGTTATTTTTTAAACCATAAAAAAAGGAGCTAAATGTTCAATAAAGGATTGTTAATAAACACATTGTTCACAACAAAGTGATGATATTGAAATTTGTTGACCTGAAAAGAAATTCATGATACATTTATTAATAAAGCAAAAAAAGATTATAAACTATGAGGTACATTATCTCATTTTTAGAAAGACATGCAGGTACAATGTATAGTTGCATGTATACACAAATTGGAAAGCATATATATAAATATATTAATAGAAAATTTTAAGTTTATTCATTTCTTATTTATTTGAAAGGCCAAATGACAGAAAAAGAGGCATAGATCTTCCAACCATCAATTCACTCCCCAAATACCCACAACAGCTAATGCTGGGCTAGGCGGAGGCGGGAGCCGGAAACTCAGTCCAGGTCCCCCACAGGGTGGCAGGGGCCCTGGTCCTGAGCCGTCGCCTGCTCCTCCCAGGATGCGCAGGAGCAGTCCCGAGCCCTCCTGTCTGGGATGTGGGGGTTCCAAGCAGAACCTTACCTGCGACACCACACACTCACCCCAACAGTGATTTTTTTTTTAATCTGGAGTTCTTTTTCTCTTATCTGCAGCTTCAGCAAGTTGAAATGATACAATGGCGTACTCAAAACCAAAGCAAACACTGATCAAGCTTATTAAATGAAAATGGTACTAAATGAAACTAAAAATTGCAAGTTACATTACTGTAAATGATTTCAAATGATTTTCTGCCCCCCTGTGGGGAATTCTACACATTGCAGAGCTGAAATCAACAAAATTTGGATTTATAAAATATCTGTCACTGAAGATGAAATGTCTCATAGGAACACGGTTGGAGCACTTGTTTAGCTAAAGCTGTTTGATCAGTTTTGTTTTGTCTGCCAGCTGTTTCACATAATTATTAGGAAGAAAATAATACCCAACACTTACACACAATCACAATATGCCAAGCACTGATTTTACATACAAGCTCACCTCACCAATACCCTATGAGGTAGGTATTGCTCCCATGCCCCCCTCCTCCCCCATTTTGTAGACAAGGCATGGAGAGCTTAACCATCTGTCAATCGTGAGTAAATGTTACCAAAGCAAGGCTGTAGCTGCCCCCAAGGGCTACATTTTGGGTCAATGATTTTAGTTCCTGAGCTTTCCTGCTCGCTTGAGGCTTGATCATTCCTTATGGAATTACTCAAACAGCTGAGTCTTTGTGCAGTGGATGACGCTTCTAAGAGGGATTATGATATTGTCCACATTAGTCTACTTTTTGCTTAAAAGATTTATTTATATGTTTGCTTATTTGAAAGGCACAGTTAGAGGGAGAAAGAGAGAGATCGTCCATCCGCTGGTTCATTCCCCAGATTGGCCGCAATGGCCAGGGCTGAGCTGGGTGGAAGCCAGGAGCCAGGAGCTTCATCTGGATCTCCCATGTGGTTGGCAGAGCCGCAAACATTTGAGCCATCCTTTGCTGCTCTTCCCAGACCATTAGCAGGAAGCTGGAAGGGAAGTGGAGCAGCCAGGACTCGAACCATATGGGAGGCTGGCACTGCAGGTGGTGGGTAGCTTTACCTGCTATGCCACAATGCTGGCCCTTAAGTTCATTTTCTTTCTAAATCTGTAGAGCAGAATTGCTACTCAAAATACAGTCCACAGACCTCATCCCCTCAGGATTGTTACTGGCCTACAGAGAGGCAAGTGCAGAAATTAAGGTGCAGAGTTTAGAAATCCATAGAGCAATTTTACAAGAAATGCTACAGCTGGTGACTGTAATAAAAATATTTTCATTTGGAGTTCATAGACCTTTTTTCATTTCATTTATATTTTATTAAAATATGATTCACAATTGGAAAAAAAATTTTTTTGACAGGCAGAGTGACAGAGAGAGAGAGAGGGAAAGGTCTTCCTTTTTTCCATTGGTTCACCCCACAATGGCTGCTGCGGCTGGTGCACCGCGCTGATCCAATGGCAGGAGCCAGGTGCTTCTCCTGGTCTCCCATGCAGGTGCAGGGTCCAAGCACTTGGGCCATCCTCCACTGCCTTCCCGGGCCACAGCAGAGAGCTGGACAGGAAGAGGAGCGACCGGGACAGAATCCAGCACCCCACTGGGACTAGAACTTGGTGTGCACCACTGGGACTAGAACCTGGTGTGCTGGTGCCGCAGGTGGAGGATTAGCCAAGTGAGCCACGGCACCGGCCAGAAATTTTTAAAATGATAATAAACTGATGGCACTCCAGAGATAGTTTGAGAAACACTGCTCTAAAGCTGTTCAAAATAAAGAGGATTTGGGATCAACTTGGTGGCCAAACAGGTTAAGCCTGTTCAGGTCCCAGCTGCTCCACTTCCCATCCAGCTTCCTGCTAAGGTGCCTGGGCAAGCAATGGGGGATGGTGGTAGTGCCTGGGCCTGGGGCACCTAAGTGGAAGACCCGGATGGAGTTCCTGGCCTCTGGCCTTGGGTCTGGCCCAGCCCCAGTCCCAGCCCCAGCCTCAGCACTTGGGCCATTTGGAGAGTGAACCAGGGATGGAAGATCGATGTTTCTCCCTCTCTTTCTAACTCTACCATTCAATTAAAGAAGTAAATCTTTACAGAGAAAGTTTTGCCGAACGCTTATTTGTTTATTTATTTGGAAAGTCAAAGTTAACAGAGACAAGGAGAGAGAGAACATCTTCCATCCGCTGGCAATAGTCCGCTGGAGCCAGGAGCTTCATCCAGGCCCCCAAGTGGGTGCAGGGGCTCAAGCACTTGGGCCATCTTCTACTGCTTTCCCAGGTGCATTAGCAGGGAGCTGGATCAGAAGTGGAGCAGCTGGGACTCGAACCTGCGATCAGAACCACAACAGCAGCCCCTAAATGAGACTGCCTTGAGATCTACATGCCTGAAAGTAAGCTTCGCATATATTTCCTCCCCTCGGGTCATTTACTTTATACAACACAGGCACTGTAGCGATAGTAAAAACAAGCAGAAGAAAAATAGCAATGACCCTGAGTTCGCAGGCGTCCTCACCGCAGGGAAAAGCGGAAAAAAGAGAGTAGAGACCCAAAAGCCAAGGGCTGCTCCAGTTGCCGCAAGTGCGCACGCGCAGGTATTAGCCCGGGACAGCGGAGGAGGGAGCAAAGCTGTGGGTTTGACTAGGAAGCCACGCCCCCACGCCCCGGCCGCGCCCCCCCACGCCCCGGCCCCGCCCCCGCCTCCCGCAGAGCCTAGAAAGGGTCAGGATGCTGTCACTTCCGCCCGGGCTGCTTTTTGCGTCCGGGTCAACTGCTGCCGCTGCAGCTGCCGCTGGGGCTGCGGCCGGGGACTAGGCTGGGTTGTGCACCGCTGACCGAGAGGAGCGGGCTCCTCTCGGCGCCGTCTTCTGCGACCTGGCAGTCAGCACCACGTCGCCGGCCTGGAGGGTAGAAGAGGACGAGGAGGCCAAGGCTTCCTCCGGGGTGAGTGCGGCCTGGGAGGGCTCAGCACGGCGAGTCCGGGCGCCGGGAACTGGGCTGGGGGCGCACGTCTGAAGGGGCGCTTGCCCAAGGCCGGCTGCTGCGGAGCGGAGGCCCAGGGCGTTTTCCGTTGTTCGGGGTGCGCTCGAACCTGCTTGGGAGGCGCCTTCCGGCTCCCCGCCCGGCTCAGGTCCCCGCCCTTGGCTCGGCTCCTTGTGTGCGTTTGCCAGCCTTGCACCCCCAGCTCCGTCGCTTTTCCGTTTTTGTTGCTTGTGCCGGGGATGGAACCTTCCCCCGTGTCTGCTCCTCCCTCCACCCGGGGTCTGGGCGCGGTGACGGGCCGCGTTGGTTCCGTACTGGTGGTCTGAGTCTGTCCTGTTGCAGAACAAAGGAAACTTGGACTTGTGTGGCGTGCCGCGTACCTTCGGGGGTTAGGCACGGAAACAGCAAACAGGGCTTTATAGACGGCCCCGGGCGAGCTCGGCCAAATACCGGGTGTGTGCGTGAAAAGCTGCGTCCCTCCGTGTTTACAGACACGGCCTGTTAAGTACCTGGCGAGAAAGGGTTTGATGTCCTGGGTGCGTCCGCTGCCCCTGGAGAGCTAAGCTACTTGATCAACCCGTGTTAAATCAGAAATGTGTTTCGATCTTTAATACGTTGCTTTGAAACTGACCTCGTCTGTCTGGGGGGGCTCTGCGCAGACAGCTTTTCTGTGTTCATTAAGGTAGTCCCAGTGCCTCCCAGTTGGTTGAGTGAAGTGAGTGCATTATAGTGGTGCTTTTTCCATCCTTGCCTTTTTTTTTTTTTTTTAAACGGGGGAGTCTAACTTAAGTACTGCTTGATTTTTTACTTTCAGTAAAATGTCTCCTTTTTCTGATGTTTTATGAGAGCTTCTGCAGTTGTAGAAGAAATTTTGTAATTTGTAAATGGCTACATTTCGCCAGAATTTTAATGGAAGTTACCTAGTGAAGTTAACGTTCTGACTAGTAGTTTCTGAGTCATCTTGCACGTTTTCTCCTTAGCTCTTATTTTGTAAACTGCGTTCCTGGTCTTGATCATCTTTCCTCCTGCAGCCTGAAGTTGGGCTTAGAAAGTATGACATATCTTCTGCAAACATGAACTTGAACTAGGTTGTCATCAAGCAAGGAAGGTTCTTGTGACTTGCAGGCATTACGGAACCTTTGAAACTAAGTGTACCAGATCCGGCCATGAGACTTACCGTGTATAAAGCTGCCAGTGGAGGAGCTCCGGGATCCAGGATGTGGTGTCATTTGCTCACATAAGACAGAACAGGGATAATAATACCAGTGTCGGCGCCTCACAAAAGTTGTCGGCTGGAGCAGATGAGATGATGGTTGTACAAGTGTCAGTAAGTGGTGAAAAGCACTGTTTTGGACAGGGCACTGTTCATTCTAACTGGATTAATGCTTGAGCGATAAGGATAAGAGCTATCTAGAAAAAAAAAAAAAAAGACACAGACCCAGATCCAGTATATTAACCTTGACTGACATTGGATCAAAAGGTGTCTTGTTAAGAGTACTTCATATAAAGCAAAAATACTATGATATGGTGATAGTAATATCACACAGTTGTTAAGCTCTTTTTAACGGTCTCTAGTATGTTCTGCATACTGATCACTTTTTGTTAAGATTTCTTTATTTATTTGAATGGCAGAGTCAGAGAGGGGAGAGAGATCTTGCATCCACTTGTTCACTCCCCAGATGGCCGCAACAGCTGGGGCTGGGCCAGGAGCCTGGAACTCCATGTAGGTCTCCCATGTGGGTGGCAGAGGCCTAAACACTTGAGCCATCTTCTGGTGCTTTCCTGGGCCCATTAGCAGGGAGCTGGATCAAAAGCTAGAACTCAGGGGATGCCAGTGGTAGCTTAACACACTATGCCACAACAGCGGCCCCTGCATACTGATATTTTGAGTTAACATTTCTCATAGAGATCTCATTTATTTTTTTTTAAAGATTTATTTACTTATTTGAAAGGCAGAGTTACAGTTAGGCAAAGGCAGAGAGAGAGAGACAGGTCTTCCATCCACTGGTTCACTCTCCAGATGGCCGCACTGGCCAGAGCTGGTCCGATCCAAAACCAGGAGCCGGGAGCTTCTTCCGGGTCTCCCATGAGGGTGCAGGGACTCAAGGACTTGGGCCATCTTCTGCTGCTTTCCCAGGCCATAGCAGAGAGCTGGATCAGAAGTGGAGCCAGGTCTCGAACTGGCAGCGATATGTGTGCCAGCACTGCAGGCGGCAGTTTTACCTGCTGTGCCACAGCCCCAGCCTTTCATTTTATTCTTAAAAACTTATATGATAGGGCCACGCAGTGACACAGTAGGTTAATCCTCTGCCTGTGGCGCTGGCATCCCATATGGGCGCCGGTTCTAGTCCTGGATGCTCCTCTTCCAATCCAGCTCTCTGCTATGGCCTGGGAAAGCAGAAGATGACCCAGATGTTTGGACCCCTGCACCCACGTGGGAGACTGGGAAGAAACACCTGGCTCCTGGCTTCAGATCAGTGCAGCGCACTGGCCGTAGACCTTTCTCTCTGTCTCTCTCTCTCTCTCACTATCTATAACTCTACCTGTCAAATAAAAAAATAAATAAATCTTAAAAAAAAAAAACTTAGATGATGCTACCTACCCTGAAGGGAACAATGATGAGCATAAAGGATTTTTTCTGGGGGATGTTTTGGCAATTCTCATAAACATATAGGTTGTTGATTTAAAACTTAACATAAATGTTTAGAGTGAAACTCTTTTGTTTAAGTGGAAAAAGGCTTGCCTGGCATTTTTCTTCTATCAGCATAGATGGTCATTGCTTGCACCAATTCCAGCAGCAGTTACTACTATGTAAAATTTTAAGTTGAGTTGGAACTGGACAGTTCTAGATATGACCCTAATGTTTGATTTCTGCCTTTTGTTGCCAAGTTGCATGGGGAAATCCTTTCCTTCATCCTGATTGGATATACAGATCACAACCCCACCCCTCCCCCAATCCATTATCTCCTTGAAATTTTTTTTTTTTGACAGATAGAGTTATAGACAGAGAGACAGAGAGAAAGATCTTCCTTTACCATTGGTTCACCCTCCAAATGGCTGCAGTGGCCGGCGTGCTACGCCGATCTGAAGCCAGGAGCCAGGTGCTTCTTCCTAGTCTCCCATGGGGATGCAGGACCCAAGGACTTGGGCCATCCTCCACTGTCATGCCCCCCCCCCCCCCCCACCGGGCCACAGCAGAGAGCTGGACTGGAAGAGGAGCAACCGGGACAGAACTGGCGCCCCAACCGGGACTTTTACAACCTCCACAGATAAATGGTGTAGGAAGGGATGTGCCACCCTGACCCCAAGTTTGTTGGGAGATCAGTTATTCCTGTTGCATCCTATTGTTATCTTTTTTTAAGATTTATTTATTTATTTGAAAGGCAGAGTTACAGAGAGGCAGAGAGAGAGAAGTGTTCCATCCGCTGGTTCATTCCCCAGATGGTTGCAAAGGCCAGAGCTCAGCTGATCCGAAGCCAGGAGCCAGGAGCTTCTTCCGGGTCTCCCACGTGGGTGCAGGGGCCCAAGGACTTGGGCCATCTTCTGCTGCTTTCCCAGGCCATAGCAGAGAGCTGGATCAGAAGTGGAGCAACCAGGGCTCCAACCAGTGCCCAAATGGGATGCCGGCACTGCAGGTGGTGGCTTTGGCCCCTTATCAGGTTATCTTAACAAATTGCATACTAAAGTGTTATTTCCCCATTTTAATTTGAAAAAAAAAATCTGTGAACAAAAAAGGGGAAGTAACCACAGTTAACTTGTGAGTCAGCAGTGTCCTGATTTCCTTTCAAAGTGGTTGTGCTTACATTAACTCCTTTCTTTTGTTTCCTGTTCTTACAGCTGCTTGATGATAAAATGCTTCCAAGAACAGTATGCTCCCAATTGTGCTGAACTGTTTTTATCTACCTGGTGTACTTTTTCCCTTAAGTTCATGGTGAAGTGAATCTATGTTTATCTCTTTTATGTATCTTTAGCTAGCTGAATTATCCCCAGACTAAATATACTTATCCATATGCTAAGGTGTAGTAACATCACATGATTCAGTATATTAAAGTTGAATAAGTAGGCTGAGAAAGTTTACTAAAATAAGCTGCCTGCAGTGCCAGTATCTCATATGAGCACCAGTTCGAATCCCAGTTGCTCCAGTTCCAGTCTGGCTAATGGTACCTTGAAAAGCAAGGGAAGATGGGCCAAGTACTTGTGCTGCTGCCCTCCGTGTGGAGACTCAGGTGCATTTTGAGACTCCTGGCTGTGGCCACGCTCTTTGCATCCATTTGGGAAGTGAATCAGCAGATGGAAGAAATAAGTTTATTTTAATAAATATGCCTACGAGGCTGAGCAAAAGCTTACTATCCAGTGTCATGCCTCTCAGTTAAATATTCACTAAGTTGATATTCAGAGGCCTAGTTTATGCCAACTACTGTGCAAGGTGTTGGGAATCTATTGGTTGCAACTTGTATTCTACCTTTTTTTTGGAAATGTTAAATGTTCTTCTGAGTATTTGAGATGTTTGAAAAAAGACACCTATAACATCTGACATTTTTTTGCAATCCCCAGTAAAACAGTGAGACAAGATAATGGAAAGCTTTTCTGGTTGATGAATTTAGAGAAATATTGTATTTCTCTTTCGAGTGAATACCAAAGAATTGAGAAGACATGGCATTGAGAGGTATACAGGGAATTACAGATCTGGAAGGGACTGTCTCTGGTCAACCTTTGGTGGCAGAATACTTCAGTCTCACTGGAGCATAGTCTAGAGCAATCAGTGTTGAGCATGTGGGCTTGTTGGACAAACACAGGTTTTCACTAGTTTCTCAAAGTTGCCAGGCCCAGTATTCTAGAGAGTTACAAATGCCTTCCTCTTATATAAAAATAAGCTGATGTTTCTAAGGAAATATGTTTCTGATGAGAGGCAGCATCTGGTTTTTGTTTGTTTTTTTCTCTGTGCTAACAAGTACACCTTCAAGGATACAAACCTTTGAGAGTATTTGAAATCTGCTATCTTGAGTATCAGTAAAACTTCCAAAGTAGGAGTTGAGCCTTCCACTATGGGCAGAGATGAGATTTTTTTTTTTTTTTTTTTTTTTTTTTTTTTTGGACAGGCAGAGTGGACAGTGAGAGAGAGACAGAGAGAAAGGTCTTCCTTTTCCGTTGGTTCACCCTCCAATGGCCGCCGCGGTTGGTGTGCTGCGGCCGGCGCACCGCGCTGATCCGATGGCAGGAGCCAGGTACTTATCCTGGTCTCCCATGGGGTGCAGGGCCCAAGCACTTGGGCCATCCTCCACTGCACTCCCTGGCCACAGCAGAGAACTGGCCTGGAACAGGGGCAACCGGGACAGAATCCAGTGCCCCGACCGGGACTAGAACCCGGTGTGCCAGCGCCTCTAGGTAGAGGATTAGCCTAGTGAGCCGCGGCGCCGGCCAGAGATGAGAATTTAGTTTGCCATGTAAAATCAAACATTTAGGAAATTTCCATTGTACTTTTGTTGATGTTCTGAAACTTTGTTTTTTTGTGCAGTTTTGTAGATCTTATGAGTGCTATAATGACAGCAGCTCAGGCAACTATAAAATATGACTACATTTTTGTTTCAGAAGACTGGCATTATTTGTTGGATGTGTTGGGTTATTTTAAGGTTATGTATACATACTGTAAAAATCAAGTCATGTGGGAGACAGAACTGGCTGTGAAATGAGTCAGTCTCAGACCATAGTCTTTCCCTCTTCTACTCATGTGAACCTCTTAACTCTTCTAGTAATACTATAATTTCACTCAAGAAATACATATTATGACTTCTTTTAAATAACTTCACCTGTTGACTTACTCTATTATGAGTGAACTAAATACTCATTTATACCTGTGCCCTGTTTGTTGTGATTTTTCTTGCCCTGTTAGCCAGTTGCTCTTCATGACTTCCTAAATACTATGCCTAAACCCCTGGTTTTGTTTTTTCCATTAGCCAAAGGGCGTATCTGTAGACAACTCACTATGTGTGAGATGAAGGAGTTGACACTCACATCCTTCCTTGGAAAAATTAAAATTCGTAAGTTAAAATTTGTAGTTGTATATGCAGAGACATCCCCACATTCAGCATCTTAAAACATGTTGAGTTACAAGGAAGGAATGGATGGTACAAATGTGAAGTAAGTGAGAAGCTGGCATAATTCATTTCCTGGACAAGTCTTCTGTAAGTTACTCCAGAATGGTGGTTTCAAAACCAGAGCAAAGAAGATAAGCAGGCTCTGCTGCATCGTCACAGTATAAATGTTAATGTATTGGTGTTGGTTTTCTACAATCAACCTGTATCTAAAGGATACAAAACATTGGAAATATGTAGTAGATAATGTATTTACTTTTATTTATTGCCCCAACTTCAGACTTTTTATATCTATACATAATCCATATATGAAATACATTTTTAATCACACCTGAGACACTATGCATATATACAATTAAAAAAAAACTTGCACTGAACAATATCTTAGTACAGGTAATACTTACTTTACTAGAATATATGTCCTCTGAGTACTTTTTCTGTTTAATATTTATTTATTTATTTGAAAGGCAGACAGAAAGAGCTATCTTCCATCTGCTGGTTCATTTCTCAAAAGTCATCAACAGCCTGGGTTGGACCAGGCAGGAGCCAGGAGCCAGGAGCTCCATCCAGGTCTCCCACTTGGATGGCAAAGTTCCAAATACTTGGGCCATCAGCTGCCTTCTAGGCACATTAGTAGGAAGCAGAGGTGGAGCGGGACCCAATCCTATGCACTTTGGTATGAGATGCAGACATCCGAAGCAGTGGCTTAACCCACTGTACCATGTCCACTCACATGCATAGTTCTTCTATTTTGACTCTTCTGGGAAAAAAAAAATTGTAACCTGACAAATTGATTTGTTGACCATTCCTTTGAACCACGATTGATAGAGTGGAGGTATGAACTGAAACATAAGATGATTGCACCTGTCAGCAGATAAAAAAGTGGAAATTAAATTATCAGTTTTTCCTCTCCTCACAGGACGTTGGCTCTCCAGATTACCCGGGGTTTGCAGTTGACATTGAATCCACCCTAAGGATGGAAGGTGTAGAACTTAAAGAAGAATGGCAAGATGAAGATTTTCCCATGTGAGCAATACTTTTTTTTTTTTTTTTTTTTTGACAGGCAGAGTGGACAGTGAGAGAGAGAGAGACAGAGAGAAAGGTCTTCCTTTGCTGTTGGTTCACCCTCCAATGGCCGCCGCGGCCGGCGCGCTGCGGCTGGGGCACTGCGCCTATCCGAAGGCAGGAGCCAGGTACTTATCCTGGTCTCCCATGGGGTGCAGGGCCCAAGCACTTGGGCCATCCTCCACTGCACTCCCTGGCCACAGCAGAGAGCTAGCCTGGAAGAGGGGCAACCGGGACAGAATCTGGTGCCCCGACCGGGACTAGAACCCGGTGTGCCGGCACCGCAAGGCGGAGGAGGATTAGCCTACTGAGCCGCAGTGCCAGCCCCCATGTGAGCAATACTTTTAAGTGAAAATACACTTAAAACAAAATTGCAAAATTGTTTTATTACAGTGTCACTTAATGAATGTTTGGTTTTATAAAGAAACTCAGTATTACAAAGTCATCATTTGATAGTAGGAAATAAAAGTTCCCTTTCTTCAGTTAGAATATTCCTATTCTATCTTACTTTTCAACCAAACGTGTCTGTAATCTTCAATATGTGTTTTGATCATTGGAGTCTTAAAAATTTTGTTATAAACAGTGCTTGAAAGCAGTTGTTTTTGAACTGGAGATGGCGGGCTTCCTGGGAGGAGGAAATCTGGTTGTCTATAAGAATATTTAAGTATTGTGAGTTTTTCCAAGGGGGATAAAAAATCCTATTTGCCAAGTAAATGGGTTTTTCTGTGTCATCTGGCCAGCCATGCTGACTTATTTGCAAAGTCGGGCCTTCTGTCAAAATGATGTTTCTATGCCATCGTGGCCAGAAGACATGCTGGTGTGCAGTGAGGTTCCTTAGCAGTTGGAAGATGGACAGCGGGGGGGGAGAACTCATCATTGTAGCCCATAATCATGATAGTAATATAGGGATGCTGAACTCAGATGAATTGTAGCTGTCATTACCATATTCTCATTGTGAGTAAAAACAGCTTTGGCATGCACTGCATACTTGTGCATTTGAGTTATATTTGGTAGTCTGTAATTTTTACATATTTTGCATATTTGGACTGTTGCATAAGGAACGTGTATCTATATATTACTTATAATAACACATTATATGTAATACATAATGACATATATAAATATCAGTCAATTCTGACAGTCTGAGAATGTTTTCTTTAAAAGTGGTGGGTAATTTACTAAAGGTGAAAGTATACTGCTTTATTCCATTTTCTGCATATTTGTCTCCTTAAGCTACATAGATCTTTACACTCCAAGAGGAGTTTTTCCTTCTGCTTTAAAAAGTATATCTATCCCTGTCTTCTAGACCTTTACCAGAAGATGATAGCATTGAGGCAGATGTGCTGGATGTAGCTGGACCAGAGAGCCGGCCTGGTGAGAATTGACACTTCACTTTCAATGACATGACGGACTCCATGTTGTTTTTGACTCTGTTTCTTTGTCAGAAATATACACTGAGCTTTGATTTCTTTTTTTTTTTTTTTTTAAGATTTATTTATTTATTTATTTGAAAGAAATGCGGAGACATGGAAGGCTTCCATTCGTTGGTTCATTCCCCAGGTGGCTACAACAGTCAGGACTAGGCTAGGTGGAAGCCAGGAGCTGCTTCCAGGTTTGGCAGGAACCCAAACACGTGGGTGGTCTTCCACTGCTTCTCTAGGGCCAGTAGCAGGGAGCTGTATCAGAAGTAGAGCAACTAGGGCACAAACCAGCACCCACAGGGATGCCACTGTAGTCGGCAGCAGCTTGACCTGCTACACCACAATGCTGGCCTGAGCTTTTATTTAATCATAGGAAGCCAAAAGATAAATAAAACTTTGGGGAAGGCATTTTAAAAATGCTTCAGAAATTTAACTCTCCAAACACATAGCCTTAAGTTTTTGGAAATCTTGAACAGGATGGAAGGAGATGATTTTATCATTTTTAGTAGAGAAGTGATTACTAAGTTCTACTTCTGTTATTTAAAAAGACATTGAGGCCAGCGCCACGGCTCACTAGGCTAATCCTCCGCCTGCAGCGCCGGCACCCCGGGTTCTAGTCCCAGTTGGGGGTGCCGGATTCTGTCCCGGTTGCTCCTCTTCCAGTCCAGCTCTCTGCTGTGGCCCGGGAGTGCAGTGGAGGATGGCCCAAGTGCTTGGGCCCTGCACCCACATGGGAGACCAGGAAGAAGCACCTGGCTCCTGGCTTCAGATCGGCACAGCGCGCCAGCCAAAGTGGCCATTTGGGGGGTGAACCAATGGAAGGAAGACCTTTCTCTCTGTCTGTCTCTCTCACTGTCTAACTCTGCCTGTCAAAAAAAAATAAATAAATAAAATAAAAAAATAAAAAGACATTGATATTTCATTGATCGCTTGCAATGATGATAGAAGCAGTAGTGATCAAAATCCAAATTTTGTAAATAGATGCTTTGGAATTTTGTTTAATTAATGTTCTTCTCAAGACTGAAGTGGTTAACAATGTTTTTCTGGCTCTCCCTGATCATCTAAACATTCCTTCTAATATCTTTTTCTTTATTTTCCATTCCAGGCTCACTGGAAGTTAATGGAAATAAAGTAAGAAAGAAATTAATGGCTCCAGACATTAGCCTGACACTGGATCCTAGTGATGGTTCTGTGTTGTCAGATGACCTGGATGAAAGTGGGGAGATTGATCTAGATGGCTTAGATACACCGTCAGAGAACAGTAATGAGTTTGAGTGGGAAGGTAAATGTTTCCCTATTTTTAATCTGATCTTTGATAATTAATGTTTGTCTCAATATGCATACGTACTTTTATAATGCTATTCCTTCAGGAATGGAAAATTCAGATAATTGAAAATCCTCAAAACTTGATATTGAAACCAACTAAATTTAATGTATTAAGGGATTTTGTCTGAAATATGTTACTCTTTCTAACATTCATACATTTGTTACTGAAGTGGAAATTCTGCTAACATTTGAATATTCTCATAGTTTTCAAAACTGTGTAAAGTAAATTACAGAGGTGGCTTTATTTTTTTCTTAATTGCCCAATACTGTAAAGTTGTATTTTTTTGTAGTTGCTCCAGAAATATTGCTTGATAATTATGGCATGATCCCTTTCAGTTGATCCAGTAAGGAAAAAAACTTTGAAGAGACATAATTTAGAGAATGTGCTAAAGGTAGTAAGGATTTGCATAAAGAGAATTCTAAAGGAAGTTTCTCAAGGGGTGATTTTTAAGTAGGTTTGTCTGATAGTGTTCCACTTTGTGAAACCATCTATTTGAATTAATGTATACTCTTAGCCCCCAAATCTTGTATTTATCAGTAAGTATTTGGATTTAAAGGAATTGACATGTTTTTGCTTTGTGTGCTTTCCTTAATTAGATAATTGCTGCCTACAGTATGGTTATATGGTAGTTAATGAATGATTTTTATATACATAATTTTTTCCATCCTTGAAATGATTTCTACTTCAAGTTAGTATCTGGCATTAGGTATTTTGCAGTAAAAAATGATATTCTGTATCTTCTGTTCCTCTTTTCTTCCCTGTCTTACTGGTTCAATAAGCAGTCCAGTAATACGCAATATTTTATAAAGATACTGAAATAGTTTTCTGCCTGTGTGTTTTGTCTCTCTCTTTAATGCTGCTGTAGTCATTTCCGGAAGGATATTTTCCGTTAACAGCTTTGTCTTGGAAACAAACAACTAACATGCAGTAGGTTCCCCCTTCCCCCATCTTTTGGTAAGGACTATGATACTAAAATTGTAAAAATCAATTGCCTCAGTAAAAATCAGCTAAACTGCAACCTTGAAACATAAATTTCACCTAATCGTTGGTGCTTCTACTTTGGCTAATGTTAATTACTTTTGCATGTACACTTCAGAATATTATAAATATATTTCCACTTGATAAACCTGATCCAATGAAAAATGATCACTGAGTAGTTAACCACTTTCTATCTGGTATTATAGAGTTCAAGAATTAATTTATGTGCTCATCCAAAAACGCTGACTTCCAGATAGTTACTCGAAGTGACCTGTAGCAGTTAACTGCCCAGGACAGTGTTGCCATACGTAGACTCTGGAAAGCCGTTGCAGGGCCCGTGTACCAAAGCTGGGATGGCTCTATGAATTACCTTTTCCAAACTTGTGGATATACATTACACCATGATCAGGTGCTTTGCTGAATTGGGCAATAAAAAAAAAAAATTTAAAGAACTGTGACTTCCAAAGACTCAAGATGGCCTCATGTTCAGAGCAACTTTTTCCTCTGATAAGGAAGAGATACTTAAAATTCCACAGGTGGTATAATGAAAAAAAATTCTCCAAACAATCTAGATAGTAAAGTGGTTAGCATCGATTTGATTTTCATTGTGTTAGCAGTCTGTGATTTAAAAGCCTTCTCTTTTGGCAGATGACCTTCCAAAACCCAAAACTACTGAAGTCATTAGGAAAGGCTCGATTGCTGAATACACAGCAGCAGAGGAGAAAGAAGACGGACGGCGCTGGCGTATGTTCCGGATCGGGGAACAGGACCACAGGGTTGATATGAAGGCCATCGAGCCCTATAAAAAAGTTATCAGCCACGGAGGTAAGAGGGCCTGAAGATTGTTGTGTAGACTTAATGAATCCAGTAACAGAAATCTAAATGCTTTTAAAACAATCTCCCGAGAGATAGCTACCTCATTCTGGAAGAGTAGTAAATACCTCTCGTATTATTTTAGTGACATAACAGGTTTGAAGTAAAAGGATAAGATTAGGACTTAAGAATCATTAATGCACACAAATAGTTTAGAAAGTACAAATGTAGGGTAGGCATTGTGGCATAGCAGACATCCCCTACGGGTGTTGATTCCTGTTCCTGCCACTCTGCTTCTGATCCAGCTCCCTGCTAATGCACCTGGGAAAGCAGAGGAGGATGGCCCAAGTGCTTGGACCCCTCCAGCGAAACCCAGATGAAGCTCCTGGCTCCTTTGGCTTGGCCCAGCTCCTGCCATTGTGGCCATCTAGGGAGTGAACCAGTGGCTGCAACATCTCTCTGTCTCTCCCTCTCTACAATTCCGACTTTCAAATAAATAAATCTTTCAGAAAAGTACAAAAGCGTATGCACTGGAAACTGTCTCCCTCCCATTCAAGCTACCTGAAATAGGGACTTGATTTTCTACCCTTTGTATTCACTTGAAAATTTATGGACAGCGTGAGTTTTGGCAAATGTCCATATAACCATTTATACCCATATATATGCCCCATACCTCTCAACATACAGATCATCTTCATTGCCTGAGAAAATTTTCTAATACCCCTTTCCAGTAAATACCCCTCTTCAGAAGCTGGTACCCATCCCTGCCCTGATTAATTTTGTCCTGTTCTACAAGGTCATGGAACTAAAATCACACAATATGCACTCTTTAGTCGGCTGCTTTTGTTCAGCCGCATGTGTTTCAGATTCGCCTATGTTGCTTCACTGAATTAGTTCATTCTATTTTTTTTTACAGAGCACCCACTGCACATTTTTATGGGATATAAAAAAATGTTCCCTTAAGAAATTTAAAGTCAGGTGGGAAGATTGTGAAACAACAAGTTAAACTGCCGTCAGTCTGACTTCCATAGGTAGACTTCTATGTCGGGACACAGTGCATTCTGTAGAGCATGTCAGATTACCTTCAGTCCTCTCGCGGGGCATGGCGCAGACTGACGCCTCTTTCCCAGGGAGTCTTTTCCTCTTAATTTACACTCTGCCAAATGCTCTCCGATGCTTCTTTCTGCAGTCTTCATTCATCTGAAAGCAAATTACTGGAATATTTGCAGTTACATTCTTCTGCCTAATTTAAGCTTCAGCAGATGAAAAAGACTGGGGTCATCTGGATCGGGAAGTCCACGTAGCTCCATTAATTCAGCTAGTTCTAGACCTGCCCTGCAGTTTAAACCTAGCATCTTTCAGAAGCAGCATCTTATTTCTCTTGGGGGAAATAATTAAGACCTCTTATTCTGTTGGATTATCATACCCATTACGTTTTGTTAGTTGAGGTTATTAAGAGAGACAGTGAAGATTCTCATGTTTTTGAAGTGTTCATTATTTTCAGGTTTAAAGACAGTGAAAATGTAGGTTATGGCAGAAAATATTTTTTACTGGATACAGCTTAATAGCGAAGGATTACAGTTGCAACATACACATTTTAGTCCTGTTTCTCTTCACTGGAAATGGTTTCAGAGTTCTTTGCTTGGTTTTAATTTCCTAAATTCTACAACATTTTAGATGTCATCAGATGTAAACATATCTTTTTAGAAACCAATTTTACCCTTCAGTTTCTTAAAAATACTTTATTTCTGGCGTGCTGTATTTGCCTGGATTATATCACCTATTTATCTTCTAAAATAAAGTTGGCATTTATTTATACTAATTTAAGTGTTTGTCTGTCAACCATACAGTTAGATGTCCTCTAAGAAAATCTTCAGAGTGAAATCATGCAGGTGATTTAATCCTTGGTTTCCTCCTCAGGATATTATGGGGATGGACTGAATGCCATTGTTGTGTTTGCTGTCTGTTTTATGCCTGAGAGTGGTCAACCTAACTATAGGTATCTGATGGACAATCTCTTCAAGTAAGTATATCTTAACAGAAATATTTGAAGGAACTGAAAGCTCTGTGAAAATTATAAATTTCCCAGTTTCCCAGTTGATTCTTTTAAGTCTTTATTCTTTGGCATTATGCACCTGTAGTTTTAGAGCTCAACAGAAAATAAATATTTTGAAATTAGAAAGTATATATCTCCAATTATCCTAACTTCTTTATTTACATTAATCATAAAGAAGTGACTTTCTCACAATCATATGGTTAAATTACACTAACCCGTTGAAGCCCAATGTAATGAGCTGACTTGGTTCAGTTAGTCACATTCGTTCTATTTCTCAGGTTGGTGCAATTTTTTAAAACTTTATTGTGGGAAATTTCAATGTGTCTCTAGAAAATAACTTGAAAATAATCATAATGCCAGTTAATGCAGCTTTAAATTTTTAATTGTGTTTGCTGTCATTGTTGGGTAGAGAGGGAATTGTATTATTTGGAAGACCTAGTTTAGTTCACGTGATATTTAAGACTAATTTGTTTTTACAGATATGTTATTGGCACTTTGGAGCTGTTAGTAGCAGAAAACTATATGATAGTTTATTTAAATGGTGCAACAACACGAAGGAAAATGCCCAGTCTGGGATGGCTCAGGAAATGCTATCAACAGATTGATAGAAGGTAATATAAATACAAGTTGAAAGCTACTCTGAGTAATTTTTATGATGGCCTTATTAATAAATTTTTATTTTCTCTTTGCTGTATAACAACACAATATCTACTTCTTAAATTACATTTGTTTTTGTCATAATGGATTCATTTTCCAAAGTATTTTAGAATGTCACAGAAGAAATCAATTTTAATCTGTTTTATAAAGACTAACTTCAGTTCCTTAAAACAAACCTAACATAGCACTTTATTTCTTATTTATACCGAATTGAACATGATTTATACCTTGAAGAAGGATGAAAAACATAGTACTTCTGTATTTTCTTAAATACTGAGTTTGCCAGATTTATAGTCCTTAGTATCTTTTGTGCCTCATAAAGACACAAGAAGATTTCAGAAAGTTTGTGAGAAAAAAATTAAGCTATTTGTTTGGGTACCCGAAATTTTTGTAATCCATGTAGTTTTTTCATAAAATGCTTTTTTCATGAATTTTTGAAGATCCTTCATATGCATGGATTTCAAAAATTGTATGCACCAAATAAAATCTTTTTTTATTTTTAAGTATTTACTTATTTATTTGAAAGAGCTACAGAGAGAGAGAAAGTGAGAGAGCAAGAGAAGTCTTCTGTTTGCTGGTTCACTCTCTAAATGGGCCATGCCTAAGCAGGAACCAGTAGCTTCATCTGAGTCTGCTACATGAATGCAGGGACCCAAACACTTGGACCATCTGCCACTGCTTAGGTCATTAGAAGGGAGCTGGATCGGAAGTGGAGCAGCCAGGAGATAAATCAGCACCCATATGGGATGCTGGTGTTGCAGCCAGTGGTAGCCGCTATGCCCCAGTGGCGGCCCCTAAACCTACCTTATAATTCTGTTTTCCATGAATTTTTGAAATGCCCTATTAATAGTTTAACTGTAATCCAAAATTCATTTAACAGCAGTAAGAGACAATCAGAATTTAAGAATATATTTTCTCATCTTTAGTGAGAAATTCTGAGTTATAGCTTTTAGTTATTTTCTATAAACTTGTACATACTTATTGATGTCTTAACTATTAGCATTAGAATTTGTAAATACTTTCATTTTTTTTTTTTTAACTCCAGGTTACGAAAAAACCTGAAGTCTCTAATCATTGTGCATCCATCTTGGTTTATTAGAACACTTTTGGCTGTTACAAGACCATTTATTAGGTAATTTTTGAGCCATGGACTTTTAAGAAAAATTCCTTGTATAAATTTCTTTGTAGCTCTATTGATTGGAAATATTGACATAATTTTTACTGGTTTTTTTTTTCCCAAAGCTCAAAATTCAGCCAGAAAATTAGATACGTCTTTAATTTGGCAGAATTAGCAGAACTTGTCCCCATGGAATATGTTGGCATCCCAGAGTGCATAAAACAGTATGTTTGATTTTATTTCTCTAATTGTATTGGTTCTGTGTATTTTGATGTATAATGGGAAATATTTTTCAATATGCATTCTTTTTCAATATGTTTTGAAACTGCTAGTTTGTGTGTAACAGAGAATAAGAGGTAAAAACCATTTTCCCATATATTCTCCATTAGCCACTAGTTTCTTCAGACTTAGTTGAAGAACTATGAGAAATGATTTCTGGTAGTTACTCGTTTAATCTTTTTTAAAGACTGGTTACAAAGTAAGAGATGATTTCCTGGTTGATTTGTTCTAAAGGACACTGTCTAAACTTGAACACGTTGCTTTCCAAATTTGAGATAATTAATCACGGAATCAAATGATCATCTTACTAGAAAAATAAAAAACTGCTTAAATCAGTCTACCTTAGTATTTTGCAGTGACAGGAAGTTGTTTACGAAATTCCCTTATCCCTATCTTAGCTTTTGAAAGGACATGGTATAAGGCTGTTAACATAACTACCTGGACACCACAATGCTGTTACATAGAAACATTGATTTGTTCTGTTAATATGAAGTTTTAGGGTGTTTAACGTATCAAAGGTAGTATTAAGTCAGTTTTTACTTTCTACGTTGTACATTATTTTTGGTTTTGTCTGCAAAGTTATATGAGTTTATTTCTTAGTGCCTTTTTTCAAGATTTTGTTCACTTCATAACATGTGTACTTACTGAAATAACTCTTCCCTACCAAGGTATGAAGAAGAAAAGTTTAAAAAGAAACAGAAAAGGTATATGCACACCTTGATTGGGTTGCATCTAGACTAGTCCATTTGCATTGCACAGACTAACTCTTCCTTATTGGTTGGTTAGCTTGTAGACAAAGATAATAGCACTTGTAAATATAATACACCCCAGCATCCCAATGCAGGGTGAATCCAAAGTTCCTGGTGCTGAATATGACTTGGATTCACCCTGTTTGAATACCATATATTTAATTCCATTAGGAATTAAAGACCACAACCAACCCTACCTATGGTTCTAAACACTGATGGTGAAACCAGAGAAATTACTGTGAATACTATTTGAAATACCAGTTGCTCTTAAGACCATTTGTTTCACCATTTTCTTGAGATCTCTAACCTTTGCTTCTGAAATGTTTGTGTAGATATCTTTAAGAAATTGTATATTTCCCTGGGGTTGATGATTATATTTGCAATGCATATATTCTTTGGCTAACCAACATTGATTTCCTTGTATGCTTAAATTAAATGGCCTGCTAACCAGTCAAATTCTACATGTGATAAAATACCTAAAAGTTTAATGGACCATTTAACAGTTGATCACTCTGCTTTCCATTTTACATTTAAGTTTGAACACTTCTGCTTTGAGCATAACAAACTGTTATCTATTAATATCTTGGCATAGAAGATGAAGTACAAGGGTATAAAATAGTTTCCATTTTATATGGTAACATAGAAGAGTGTAGGTGTTAGAAGAACTAATTTGTTGATAAATTTTGATAGTTTAAATTGGCCAACCGTAGTTTCATGCAGTCTTCCTTTTTTTTAAGCATTAAGGTGAGAGAATTTTATGTAGTTTTCATTTGACCATTCTAAGCAATCAACTGTCACTAACTGTAACTGGAACATTCCTAACTTTGAACACATTTTAGTTCTGCTCAGTGAGAATTTAGTTCATCGATCATGTGATAGAATCATGGTTTTACATTTTTACCTGACATTTCACAGTTTTTTTTAATTTAATATTATATATTTATTTGAGAGGTAGAGTTACAGACAGTGAGAGGGACAGACAGAAAGGTGTTCCTTCCACTGGTTCACTCCCCAAATGGCTGCAACAGCCAGAGCTGCGACAATCCGAAGCCAGGAGCCAGGAGCTTCTTCCTGGTCTCCCAGGGGCCCAAGGACCTGGGCCTTCTTCCACTGCTTTCCCAGGCCACAGCAGGGAGCTGGATTGGAAGAGGAGCAGCCAGGACTAGAACTGGCACCCATATGGAATGCCGGCACCACAGATGGAGGATTAACCTACTGCGCTGGCCCTTGACATTTCACAGCTTAACCAATACTTTACTGTAGAGATATAGATAGAGATTTTAGATCATGCTGGTTTCTCATTCCTTTCTAGGCATCATTGTACATTTGACAGACAAGTGACTAAAATTAGAAATATTTGTAATTGTATTTTGAAGCTCACTGCTTTGTGAATTTGAAAACAAACTGTCTTTGTCAATGCAATGTGCTGTATTACACCTTTTTAAATTTGATTAACTGTCAAGGAGTAATTTAAGCATCAAGTAAAAATAGAACTCATTCTTTTTAGATGTTTGAAACCTATCCCTACTATTTTATCTTGATTTTTTTTTCTTTTCTTTTGTGTCAATAGCCTTAAATAGAATCATTACATATGTCAGGTACTTCTTGGTTTTTGTACAGACTTTTGCTGGCTTTAATAAAGAGAATCCATTTGAGATTAAAACTATATTATATTCTAATATATATTATATTATATTATATTATAATAAAATTATATTTAAATATAGAGTAGTATTTTTGAAACCAAAATTGAAACAGGTTAGGTGCATGTGAACGTATTTAAGGTGACATCTCTATGCTAAGTACTGATGCTAAGCAGGGTCCAGAATTGAGTATTCAAATAGAACAGTTTTAAATGTTACAGGTGTTTCTTTCAAACAACTCAGTGAAGGTGTGGCCAGGCAGATACAGACTAAATGTTTCAATATGTTTAAAAATAATCTGATAAGTAGTTCATTAAGATATTCCAGATTTGAAGATTTGGGTATTTATTTTATGCCTTATCAGAATTGTATTATCTTCAAATATTTGCACCAATGTAAAATATTTTTTAATGTTGATAATCTGGCTTCACAACGAGCCAAGAATGGTGGGTCTGATTCAGTAATGTTCAGGTGATCATAGTAATGGAAACAAGTGTGAAAAGTTTCTTCCTGTATCATACCAAATTGTCACTAAGTGTTTCCACATCAGTTATTCGAACCACTACAGATAGAGTAATGATAGACTATTGTATGTTTATCTGAAGGATTGTCTGTAATTATTTCAAATGGTTATTTGATTTATTTGAATGGAGAGTTAACAGAAAGAGAGGAAGAGACAGAGAGAGAGAGAAATAAAGACAGATATTTCTTTGATACACTGGTTGACTGCCCAAATAGCTGCAATGGCCAGTGCTGGGCCAAGCCAAAGCCAGGAGCCTGGAACCCCGTCTGGGTTCTGTTTGGGTGGCAGGGGCCCAAGAACTTGGGCTGTCTTCCACCGCTTTTCCAGGTGCATTGGTGAACTGGTCTGGAAGTGGAGCAGCCACTTCTACTCTGCCACTCAGACGTGATGCTGATACCACAACACCATTCCCCAAAAAGCAATCTGTAATTACTGTGTGGTAATTGAGTAATTCTTCTAATCACCACATGCCTAAATTTTGATAAGGCTTCTATGCAATCCATAGTAAATCTAGAAGATGTTTAATTTACTTTTTGACATTTTGGACTCACTCTTAAATTATTATGATTTCTTACTGTCGAAATAAGTGAAAAGGAGTTACACAGACTGAGTATAATTATGGTTTTCATAAATGTACATTTTTTTAATAACTGAATCTAAAAATATGGTCAGTTGCTGGCATTGGTAGCACTTTATAATATTTCAGTTACCAAACCTATTTTTGAGGAGTTGTTTTGCCTGCCAGTCTCTTACTTTTTGGATTCCTGCTACAGCCTTGCTATACATCATGAACTTTTAAGAAAGTTCATATACATCTGTATGCAGTTTATAATCGTTAAGAAACAGCAGTCATGTTTCTTAGCAATGTCTTCCTGTCTGTGGGAACTCCCCTGTCTTTTCTGGTTGGGGAAATATTTGGTAACCTTTTTACTGTGTCTGCTTCTTTGCAAAGCTTTGTTTTTAACAGAATAATATTCCATGCTGAAAGTAGTCACTATTTTTAGAAAGAAAATGTTCAGTTGCTAGCGTCTTATTATTTATATTTTTCGTTAAACAGAGTTGATCAAGAGCTTAATGGAAAACAAGATGAACCAAAAAGTGAACAGTAAGTTTGGCATCTAGTCCAAACAAGACTGAAGAATGTGCTGATGAAGCAATGCTCTCTTTTGCATTTATAATGCATTTATTGGCCCATATTTTTATGTAATCTGTTACAACATTGACTTGACTTTTTCTTAATGGACTTTTGTACAAGGGACTGTTCACTGCTGTACTGGTTTGCAAATCTCTTGAATTTAGCTCCTTAATAGCTAACTGTATTGTAATCATTTTGTATTTTGTAGTGCTAAATAGCAGAGAACTACACTTTATATAAAAGTTTTTGCATTTGTTTATTGAATTATGCATCTTCAGTAACATATTTATATGCATAAATGGTAAAGGAAAGAAATAATATATATTTTTATGTTTTTGAGCAATATTTTTTAATGTATACCTGTCTTGTGGAAGAATATGCAGGTAAATAAGACCATGGTTTTGTAAAATGCATGTTAGGATTTGTTTTATTTTGTAAATGGTTCAATGCATTTCCTGGGTAACTTAGAAAATTAAGTTGCTTGCAAGGTGAGGGACAGTCAGACTGATACTCATGAATACCCAAAGATCATGTGCATAATCTAAGTAGATTAGTACCATCCCCAGCTGTTGTCTAACTTAACGTGTATTGTTCCTTAATTCAAAAGTGCAACTTTGAGCGCATTGCACATTTTTTTCTTTTTTAAACTTAAAGTCTAAAAGCCATTTTTAGAATTAGAGGACATAAGAGGCTAGGAATTGGAGTTTGTATATATGTATAAATGGGACATTTTATCTTCTGGCCCAAAGTCAGAACTTTATCAAGTCTTGGTTTGTTCACTAATGTGAAATAAGTTGTGTGTCCAGGGTATTGCTCTCCTCCGTGCGTGTGAGTGCTGTGGAGTTCTGCAGAGAATGACGAGTTATTCACTGTCACGACTTCTTCTGTAGCAAACGGGCTGCTTTTTAAACTGCTCACTGTGGGCACTTTACCAAATACTTCCACATCAGTTATTTGAGCTTGGTGACTTGATCCGTCAGAGACGGTCTGGCCTCAATTTTCTGTTGAATCGTCTTTGACCGTACCGTAAGTTAGGTTGAAGCATCGTTTGGATGTGCTGTTGTGAATGGCACTCTGAAGATAAGCATATGCACTCCTTGCTTCGTTTGATGAGTATGTGCACATTCAAATACATTCTCCTTTGAGCTCAGTTACGTACCAAATCATTCAGAAACCAGAGATGGCTCTAACGTTGTTTCCTATCTTTGAATGACTCATGGATTTGGTCAATTTAATACCTTCCAAATTTGAAGGTCACACTACTCTCCAGCCCTTTGTGTGTTTTACAAAAGATTGGCCTAGAGTGGCAACAGTTGAAAAGAATGGGTTTGTCCTGTCTTCTCCTAAGCACATACATGGTATTGTCGTTTGCTGATGAAGTTTTTGTTACCAAAGGGAATTTTGTCCTCCTCAGTCACAAACTTGCTGTGGCAACTTAAATGCAATGTGGGAGGTGCTGCAGGGCCTCAGCAGCTGTTCACGCTCTCGGCAGCTCCTGTCCTGTTGGTTACAGCAAATTAAACCAAAACCATCATTGCTGACTGAAACCTGAGAAACACTGTGTTGAAGAAGTAAACTAACAGTAACAATTTAGGCATTCCTTCTGAATTGACCATGTGAAGAGTATGAATAAAAGATCCTGTTTGAATCAGTTGTGATTATATTCTCTATTTGTAGAACATTTTTACTAGTCTTTCATCTAAATGTCTTCTCAAAATGGGCTGGCCTTTTTAATAGGTGGTTTCTCTACCACGTTAAGTGCTTGGTTCAGTTGGAGAGATGCAAAGAGTAGTTCAACTCTGTGTTGTGTTTATTGATTTTTGCTTTTGCAGTCATTGTTCCTAACTATAGATACAACTTATTGCAAAAGTGATTTTTTTCCCAATTTTTTTAAAGGAGAAGTGGCCTGTATTCTGTCAGAACAGTAAAACTTAGAACAATGTTGTTACACTTGTTTTTTTTTTTTTTTAACAAAGGAGGTGTTCTGTGAATCATGAGATTAAAGAATACCTGCTTTAACCTACACCTTAGTGGATTCTGCTATAGGGGTGTGGCAATAAATGTTTCCTAACTGTAAGACATTAAGAAATAACTGGTAGTGTAAAGGAAAAGCATTTATTAAGCTTATTTGCAATCTGTAGTTATGTAACATGTTCTTATATTCAGTTTTAATTTTCCATTACTGATAGAGGTAGAAGTACATATAATTATATTATTTTTATCTTTTTCCTGGGGCCGTGGATCTAACTTAACTGGCCAATTATGATGCTTCTATCCCTGTTTTTGTTGGATGTAGTCTGAGTGCCCCTTTCTAGTTAGAAGTTTGTCCACTGAAGTATGAAATAATTTGACTCTGTGTTCTATTTGGTTATCTTCCTAAGCAAGCACCAAGGAACAATTTTATGGACCCCACAGTTTAAGCTTAATAGTCTGTAACTCAGAGGGGGTATGAAGAAATATGATTCTAAGTAAAGTCTAGCTACATTCTTGGAAAATGAAAACCTTTCTAAAGGGATAAAGACTTAGCTAAGACCTCACTGAATCAATGTGTCCCTCTCAAGGGAAATACTGTATACGGCCGTTGGTAGCACTATTTCTCTTATCCAGCAGGAAAACTTGGTGGCTATACATAATATGTGAGTTAGGAGACTGCGGATTGAAGTAGAGAACGTGATATCAGCTTTGAAAAGAATCCACATCTGCTTTGCTCTGCTTATCCATACAGAAGCAAGTTTGAACAGAGAGGGTTAGTAATCACAGTGTCAGATTAAAGGCTGAGACTGGGTTCTTCACAGTTTGTGGTCGGTAGACATTGATGTAGTCTTTCAAAAGGATGTCACTATTTAGTAACTGCACTGAATATTGAGCTGTGCTAATAATTTCTATGGCTGGAATCTCTTCATATGCGATTACAGTATTTTAAAAGGTAAGGGATCTGCTTTTTTGATAGAGCCTTTTTTCAAATGACTCAGCATTATTATGTGGCTGTTGAAACAGTGAGAGCTCAGGGAATTTGGGAAAGTGTTCAACCTAATGCAGACGCGGCTTGCTACATTTCTTTAGTTGGTACATGAGTTAGCATTAGGATGTGTATCTGGTAGAACACTACAGTGTCTTGTTGAAGTAGGCAAAACTGTATGCGAGGTGGTGGTAGAGTCATCCTTTTCCCATGTTGTATGTAGAAAATAACGTAAGGTAACTCAGTGTGGTGAGGTGAGGAGATAAGCTGAAAAGGGATTGTTATACACTTGGTTTTTTGCCTATATTTTTTCCCCCATCCTATACATGTATTTCAGAAGTGGATCACAAATAAATCTTGGAGGGATGGAGTAAATAGCAGAATTAAAGTACTTAGAAGTTAATACTGTTTTGCTGTTCAAGAGTTTATTTTGTGGGGAATAATTGTGTAGCTTGAGTTTCTTAGGGCACGAACTTCGTGGGAAGGCTGATTGTGGAGGGAAAGGAGTTATTATCTACTTGAGGTTCTAAGGTAGTGCAAAAGAACTGCCTGAGGGACCAATCACTCGCTTCTCCGTTACAGAGATTCCCAAAAAGCCTGGATCAGTACTGAGGCCCAGTCATGTAACTTTCCTTTTAAGTTCTAAATGTTAATTGAAAATAAAGTAGTATGGTCACAGTAAAAAGCAATACTAAATTTTGAATAGAACAGTTTATTGCAACTATATATAATAGATCTTAATTTCATTTTCTTTGAGAGTAAATTTTAAAATGCCATGAAAATTCACATAAAGCACTTAACAGATGAAGTACCAGATGAAAACCAAGAGTTTAATGCTTCAGACTTGCAATTTCAATTCGCATTTCACTTAGCAAAGGAAGAACTTGGAAAATACAGCATCAGCTATGCCACTGCACACTGCACTTTTTTGTGTGCAGATTATGCGAAGTTTAATGCCCTTTTAAGAGTTGCTTAATTTTTTATTTGCATAAACCCAGTTAGTAAATATCAGTGATGTTCAGGGCCGCTGACTAGCAGTCTTGTCCATATAGAACACAGGTCAGAGTTTGTTAGACACTAACGCACTTTGATACGTATTTCAGAGATGTTTTTGTTACCACAGGTTCACAAGCTGCTGTGTAGCCAAAAGTACTGTGATCATTTTACAGCTGGTAGGATAGTGTTGCCCAGCCCAGTACTGTCATTTCACAGTGTGAGAAATTCAGTTTTGATGTCTGTGTGTGCAAGATGTCGATGTGGTCCCTTTAAGAAATACTAAGGTTGGTCATGATTTACTAAGGTGATGTAATATTTTCTTTTCCTTTGACCTGTTAGGAATGCAATCACTTGTGTCTTGATTTGTTGCACATCATATTTTTGCAGCATTCATGAACTTAAATAAATTAATTGGAAAGTTCGTTTTGTGCCTCATTTTATCACGTTCTTCTGTCTTCTGTCATGCCACTAAATTTTCACACTGGATTACTAATAAGCCTTTCAAATAATTTCAGACCTTTTCTGTTTTCCTGTGATTTGGTGTTCTATTCCAGGAGTGGGGTCCAATCTGCTTTAATTTTTAACATCTGGATTACAAACAGATTTTGTATTTCACAGTTTAGAAATTTTAACTAGGGAAGAATCCAAGGGTAACATTGGAAGTGGCTGAAAATGCAGAGAGTGGGTAAATGAGAATCTACTTAAAGGCCGGCTCCAGTTGGTAGCACTTAGTCTTTAATTACTATGCAGCTCTTTGGCTTTGTCCGCAAACTGCTGTGTACCTCACTACAAAGTTCAATCCACAATTATGATACCTCAAGGAATCTAGGATTATGCAAAATCGTAATGCCTAAGTATTTGAGTTGCATATTTAGGCACAGATTTTAAGTACAAAGTCTCGGAAATTAAAATTCTTAATCACAAACTAAGACTGCCAGGCTAAAATAATTGCAGCCCTATTTTGACTGATAGGAGATAATCCATCTCAGATGTTTCAGAATTCGTCTTCAATTTCGTGTCACATGGTCTTCAGCAGAATTGTCCTGAACACAACCCAAGCATAGAAGGTGTATGCCCTACATTTGTTAAATTTTTCATCTAACAGTGGGGGAGATGAGTCTCTTAAAAACTGCAGTTCTCTTCGGAGCGCCTGAGTGAAACTGGTGAATCACCCGAAAAGCATGGCCACCGCTCTGGGGTTGGAGGATCCAGCCCGACGCTCCTCCCCCTCCCCGCATCCCCGCCCTGACCTCGGAAGCCTTGATTGGCGTGCGGGCGCAGCGGTGGGCGGGGCCTCCCGGCCCACCTTCGTGGTGTCACTTCCAGGTTCCGGGAGCATTTCCGGGTCGTCCGCCGAACTCTGCGGTTTCGCGGCGGCCGAAGAAGTGGTCGGCGAAGTAGGGACCTCCTTCCTGGCCGCTTGCCGCGCCGCTTCTGTCCGCGCCGCGGCGGGAAGCGCCTTCCCCACAGGTAGTGAGTGAGCTGGGCCGGGGAGGGAAGCAAGGCGGGGCCCGCGCCTCCCTGAGCTCCCAGAGCCGGGGCTGCGGTTGGCTGGGTCCGTTTCCAAGGGCGATTTGGCGCCGGGGGTCGGCCTTTCTCCGACCTCGCTACCGGCGAGGCCCCGGGGCCGGTGCCCTGCGAGCGGGGTGAGGCGGCGGGAGGCGGCTGCGTCCTGTGGCGGGCGATCGGACCCGAAGAGGTCCTCCGCGCAGCCCTGCGTGGTCCGCCAGGTGAATGTCTGGGAAGTACTCAGGCGAGCAGCCCGAATGGTGGTGCCGAATTTAGGGAGCGTTTCCTATGGGCATTCCTTGGCTGCTGACTGCGTCGTCGTGCGTTGAAAGTCCGCCTTGCAGCTTTGCTTCCTGCCAATTCCGACAGAGGGACGAATGGAAACGGGGTGGGAGATGCAGAGGGACTGGGACTAGTTACCCACGAGTCTGGAGCCGCCTCTGAGCGCCGAACCGCAGGATCCCCAGGAGGGAGCGCGGGCTTCGGGCTGCCGACTCCACACCTGAGAGATCCAGCGATGGTTAAGCCTCGGAGATCGCGAGTAATTTTAGCGAACGGTCACGGTTTTTAGATAACTGAGACTTTTGACCCAAGATGCCCTAACGTGATTCGTGGAGTTTTTAATTTTTACTTGTAATGCTTGCACGTTTTAATGGGGGTGCCGTGCATTCTTCGACACGTGTATTCAACATCAGCTGATCGATTCAGGCAATTAACGTTTCCATTGCCTTCTGATTTTCTTTATGTTTGGAGCCTACCAGCGCCTCTCTTCCAGTTCTTTATGAACTATATAACATTGTGAACTGTAGCTGCCCCACTGTGCTGGGGTGCACTAGGAACTATTACTATGTGTATTAAACTATGTGTTTTGAACCCCGTTATCCATCCCTCTACTCCCCACCCTTCCCAGTCCCTAGCAATCACTGTTCTGAGTTCAAAGCGACTTTTTTTTTTTAAGACTTCCTCATGTAAGAGTAAACATGCAGTATTTGTCTTTCTGTGTCTGCCTTATTTCACTTTACATAATGGCCTCTGGTTCCATCCATTTTGCAAATGTCAACATTTAATTTTTTATATTTGAGCAATAATTTCCATTGTGTATGTATGCTACATTTTCTTTACAAATTCATCCATTCCTGGGCACCTGGATTGAGTGCATCTTTACTGTTGGGATTGGATCATAATGAATGTGGGAGTGCAGGTATCTTTCATGAACTGGTTTCATTGCCTGTGGAGGTAGCCGGGTCCTAGAGTGCATGTCTGTTTAGTTTTCTGAAGAACCTCCATACTGTGCTCCATAAAAGACATACTGATTTGCATTCCCACCAACAACCTGGAAGGGTTTCCTAGTCTCCACATCCTTGCCAGCTTTTGTTATTGTTGTGTTTTTGATACTAGCCATAGCCGCTGTAAGTGGAGTGGGATGCTGCCTCACTGTGGGGTTGACTGTTTCCTGATAGCTGGGGATACGGAGCATTTCCTCATCGCTGCTAGCACTGCTACTTCTTTGGGAAGTGTGTATTCCAGTCCTTTGCCTGTTGCTTAAGTGGATTGTCTGGCACTTTGTTGCCAAATCTTCTGAATTGCTTATATAATCTGTATGTTGATCCTTTGATGGTTAGTTTGCAAATATTTTCTCTCATTCTGTTGGTTGTCTCTTCATTCTCGTTTCCTTTACTGTGCAGTTTTTTAGTTTAATATCCCATTTGTCCAGTTTTGCTTTTGAAGTGTTTCCCATATGTTTTTTTTAATAGTTTCAGGTTTTACATTTGCACCTTTGATCCATTTTTGAGTTGATTTTTGTATATATACCTATAAATACACACCTGTATATAGATATCCAGGTTTCCCGGCACGATTTATTGAACAGAGTTAAATGTTACAGTTATCCAGTGTTATGGTATTGGTTCCTTCGTGGAGAATCGTTTGGCTGTGTGAGTTCCATTGGTCTTTGTGTTTTATGCCAGCACCTTGCTGTTTTGGTTAGAGTGGCTCTATGATATATCTTAAAATTAAATGTCATGATGCCTCTGGTTTTCTTGATTTTAAGATTATTTTGGCTGTTCAAGGTCTTTTGTGTTTCCATATGAATTTTAAGATTTTTTTTTCTAGTTTTGTGAAGAATATTATTGGTATTTGGATGGGGTTGCATTGAATCTGTAAGTTGCTTTGAGTAGTATGGATATTTGTAATAATATCAATGATTCCAATCCATAAACATGGGGAGGGGCAGGTCTTTCCATTTTTTCTGCCTTTACTTTTTTTTTTTTTTTTTTTAAGATTTATTCATGGCCCGCGCTGTGACTCACTAGGCTAATCCTCCGCCTGTGGCGCCGGCACTCTGGGTTCTAGTCCTGGTTGGGGCGCCAGATTCTGTCCCGGTTGCCCCTCTTCCAGTCCAGCTCTCTGCTGTGGCCCGGGAGTGCAGTGGAGGATGGCCCAAGTGCTTGGGCCCTGCACCCGCATGGGAGACCAGGAGGAAGCACCTGGCTCCTGGCTTTGGATCGGCACAGCGCGCCGGCCATGGTGGCCATTTGCGGGGTAAACCAACGGAAGGAAGACCTTTCTCTCTCTCTCTCTAACTCTGCCTGTCCAAAATAAATAAATAAATAAATAAAATTTTAAGAAAAGATTTATTTATTTGAGCGTCAGAATTACAGAGAGAGGAAGAGAGGCAAAGAGAGAGAGAGGTCTTCTGTCTGCTGGTTCACTCCCCAGTTGGCCGCATTGGCTGGAGCTGCGCCGATCAGGAGCCAGGAGCTTCTTCCAGGTCTCCCATGCAGCTGCAGGAACCCAAGAGCTTGGGCCATCTTCTGCTTTCCCAGGCCATAGCAGAGAGCTGGATCAGAAGTGGAGCAGCTGGGACTCAAACTGGTGCGCATATAGGATGCTGGCACTTCAGGTGGCAGCGGCCATGCCGTAGCGCCAGCCCCATGCCTTTACTTTTTTATCGGTGTTTTGTAATTTTCATTGTAGATACGCTTCACATCCATGATTAAATTTATTGCAAGGTTTTGTGGGGGTTTTGTGCAGCTGTTCTGAATGGAATTGCTCTTATAATTTCTTGTCTGTGAGTTCAGTATTAGTGTTTAAAATACTCCTGATTTGTATGTTATCCGTCATAGGTTTCTCTATAGAATCATATCGTCTGCACACAGGGATAGTTGGAACTTCTCATTTCCTATTTTGTGCTTTTTATTTCTCTTGGCTACTTGCTCCAGCTAAAACCTGCAGTACTATATTATATAGGTGTGGTGAAAAAGGACAGCCTTTTCTGATTCCAGATGTTAGTGGAAATGTTTTTGGCTTCATGTTTGCTGTGTAGACTGTCGTATGTAGCCTTTATTATGTTGATAGTTTTTCTTTACCTAATTTGCTCAAGGTTTTTATGAGTGGATGCTGAATTTGATCAAATGTTTTTTCTGCTTCTTTTGAGAGAACTTTTTATTTCATTCTGTTGATGTGATGTATGACCATTATTAATTTGCCTGTTTTGAACTGTCCCTGCATCCCTGGGATAATCCTACTTGGTTATGGTGAATAATCTTTTTCAAGTGTTGTACATTCAGTTCGCTGGTATTTTGTTGAGAATTTTTACATCTGTGCTCGTAAGGGAGATTATAAGATTGCTGTTCTGTCTTTGTCTGGTTTTGGCTAGTCTCACAGAATGAGTTTGGAAGAAGGCCTACCTTTCAGTTTTTTGTAGTAATTTGAAGAGAATTAGTGTTAATTCTTCAATAAAAGTTTGATGGAATTTAGGAATGAAGCCGTCTGGCCCTGGGCTTTTCTTTGAGAACATATAATTACTGATTCAGTCTCATTACTTGTTACTGTTCTGTTTAAGTTTTCTATGTTTTCCTGTTTAATTTTGGTTAGTTATGTATCCAGAAATGTATCCATTTCTTGTAGGTTTCCAATTTGTTGGTATAGAGTTGTTCATAATGCTGCCTGGGGTTGGCAGAGGAATGGGGTAAGCAGTTCTGTGGCTACCTGTGCCACGATGCTGGATCACACGCAAAGCCCACAGTCTGCCAAGGCCAGCCCAGCACAGGGTTGGACCAAGGACCACTTTGCTGTGGGCTGCCTGCTGCCAAAGAGGTGGAGCTCAGGGCTGCTGCAACCAATCATAGGTCACACTGGCTGGTATATAAATCCAGTCAATTAGGACCATGGTTCCCCACTTTGAATGGGGCAGGTCCCGAGCTTCCATCTGTAGGTACTGTCCTGGAGAGAGAGCCTCTTAAAATCTGCCCACGATAGTTTTACCACTTCCAGAATGCAGTCTTCTGTTCACTGTGGCGACCTACACACTTGTGGCTGGAGTCTTGCTCTTTGCTGTCTGTCAAGATCCAGAGAAAGGTGGTAAAGACTGTTCAGACTGCCACTATGCGGGGTTATACCTGAGACTCTTGGCCACAGGGCCTTGTGCTGTCTTGCCCCCCATGGAGCTAGAGTACTCATTTATCCTCCCCGGGTTTTATCTGCCAGTACTGGAGTACTGGCCTGGAGGATAGGAGATTCTAGTCTGTGCACTGGGTCTCATCACTACAGTGGTACTGGCACTGAGCTTAAGGCAAAGTCCTAAATTCACTTTCCCACCCTGCTCCTCAGCGCTTGGAATCTTGCTCTGTTTACAGAAGGTTGAGGGAGGAGCAGTGGAGGCCTTCCCTTGTTAGCTTGGCTTAGGAGGATCTTGGGCTCAGTCTGCAGGTTCAGGCCTGGGGTAGTAGGCCATAGAGCCCTCCAGCTGGTGTTGGATTTAAAATCTAAGGTCTGGACTTAATTCTCTATCCCTCTCCTGAGCAGGCAGAGAGCAGTTTCTATATGCTGTGCTACTAAGGGTTGCCAGGGACGGGGTGTGGCGACTGCGGCAGGTGACGCCTCTTTCTTTCTTAACCTCTTCAGTGAGTCTTTGCTTATTACACTGCAACTGAGCACTGTGGCCTCACTTGGCTTCCATA